CGGAGCCATTATCACATACATATATAAATATTTATGTGTTTAGTTGGAATTTGCAAAATTATTAAAAAAATGGTTTGAAATCGTTTTTAATTTAATCGTTTTTAGTATACAACAGTTATGAATATTTATAATAATATGTAACAGAAAAATTCTTGGATTTTTGAGAAATTTTTGAATAGCCCTGCTATAAATGTTATTAAAAACTGGTTTCAAACTCAAACCCAAACAAGAATGATTTTTTTAAAATATTTTTAAGGTCCATTAAAAGGCAGGATTTTTTTGATATCTTAACAAATGCCTGGTTTAAAAAATATATATTTTTTGAGGTCTTAACAAAGGCGTCGATTTTTATTTAAAAAATAGTTTTTCCAAGTCTTAACAAAGTCGTGGATTTTTTAAAAAATATTTTTTTTAAGTCTTAACAAAGTCGTGGTCTTAACAAAGGCGTGGATTTTTTAAACAATATTTTTTCAAGTTTGCCACAGGGCGTGGATTTTTTAAAAAATATTTTTTTAAGTTTGCCACAAGGCGTGGATTTTTTAAAAATATTTTTTTTAACTTTGCCACAAGGAGTGGATTTTTTAAAGAATATTTTTTCAAGTTTGCCACAGGGCGTGGATTTTTTAAAAAATATTTTTTTAAGTTTGCCAAAAGGCGTGGATTTTTTAAAAATATTTTTTTTAAGTTTGCCACAAGGCGTGGATTAACGAATATTTTTTCAAGGCTGCCATATGTTTGTAACAGGGAAGAGGAAACGACATAGACACATGGTTCCTTTTGAGCATATGCATAGAATCACTTTCTAAGTCGATTTATGCATATCCGTCCGTCCGTCCGTCTGTCTGTCCATGTTAAATTGTAAACAAAGAACAGTTCGCATTTTTGATTCGAATTGAATGAAATTTTCCACAGCTCATTTATTTGGCCCAAGAACGAACCCTATTGAAATTGGGAAAATCGGTTCAGATTTAGATATAGCTCCCATATATATTTTCGTCCGATTAAAGGTAAATGATGCACAAAAGTCCCTATATATCTTTCGATCTGCACGAAATTTGGCACAGCGTACTGAATTAAGTCTAAAAAGATGTGTGTTAAATTTCGTAAAAATCGGTTCAGATTTAGATATAGCTCCCATATATATTTTCGTCCGATTTAAGGTAAAAGGTGCACCAAAGTCCCTATATATCCTTCGATTTGCACGAAATTTGGCATAGTGTACCGAATTAAGTCTGGAAAGAAGTGTGTTAAATATCGTGTAAATCGGTTCAGATTTAGATATAGCTCCCATATATATTTTCGTCCGATTTTAGTAAATAGTGCACCAAATTTGGATTTATAAGTAATTGAAGAACTCAAAATGCTCCCATATATATTCTTTCGATTTGCACGAAATTTGGATTTATAAGTAATTGAAGAACTCAAAATGTGGCCGAATGCACAAAACATACTGAAATAAGTGTAACCTAATATGTGACAAGTTTCGATGAAATCGGTTTAGATTTCGATATTTTGCTTTAAGTTTATTTACATAATTTTGTCCCATTGTAAGAAACAACTCTATAGCTGACCAAAATTTAGTACAGGTTGCAGAATGACATGTTTAAATTTCATGTTAATGGTCCTTCAAAAATGTGACGTCTGTTAGGATTCCATCTGTCGAATATACCCAAAGTGGTGAAGGGTATCATATAGTCGGCCCCGTCCGACTTTACTACTTTCCTTACTGGTTAGAAATATTTTTTCAGGCTTTTCAAAGGCGTGTATTTTTTTACAATATATTTTTTCAAGTACAATATTTTGATGTACTGAGCCATGGTACCCTTGTACCACAGTATGTTTGGGGTAGGGTATAAAAACTGGTTCCCAAATCCCAGACAACAAAAAACATTTCTTTCAAAAAAAAAATAAATAAATAAAATAAATTAAAAATCCCACAAAAATACCACATAATAAAACCAGAAAATCCGACATAATGACTATTAATGTTCTGCAATTAATAATTCTCTTCAAGAAATACAACAAAAAGCGCCAAGCCAAACATTGTCGGTAAATAAGTTTTTTTTTTCTCTAAAGCTCGCATAAATTGTAAGCGGCACGTTGTCAAGATTATGTTTATCGATTTGTTTACATTTAATGATTTAAAATAACAAAGAAGAAAACACCATTAGCAATTAAGATGAGCGCTGGAGGATGGATGCACCCATTCGACACGACTATCATGACCAAGAATTATGAATTATGCAAATGGGTGTGAATAATAATTACTTTTGGCGATTCAAGACCACAATGGGGTGTAATTAAAATTAAAACCAAAAAAAAGAAAAAATACCGCATAATACATAGACCCCCCCCCCCTGCCACCAAACCCCCACCCCACAACATAGAATTTTTAATAGTTGTTTTGTTTTTGTATGTTTTGTTTTTTTTTTTCTAATCTCCAGTAGTCATTGTTGTGGCTTGTGTGTGTTGTCATGTCGAGATGTCAAATAGAGATTAGGGTGTGAATCATAAAGACTTTTTGGAATGGCTTTGGGTGGTTTTGTTGAATATTTTTTGTTGTTGTTGTGTTTGATTTAAATAACTCATCAGCAGCATCATTAACATACCACTTGACCACGTTAAGAAAACTTCCTGGTCAGGGAGTTTTTTTTGTTTTTTTTTTAATTTTTTTATAATAGAAACAAAAAACTAAATTTCATAACATATGACACCGGTTTTTTCAGAAGACACATGTTATTCTTTTGTTTAAGAAATAATCATATGCCACTGCTTTTATTTGTTTTTAACAAATTTTTCTATTGTTGCTGTTGTTATTCTTATTGTTTTATTCTATTAAGATCAATTAATTTGCATATGTGAATAAAAAATCGTTGGGCGCCATTTATTATAGCCTGTCAAATAGTCTAGTGACGTAAAGAAAATAATTCTCAAAATCAAGATTTTCGAATAAATTGTGAATAAATGGTTGTGATTTTTTGTGAAAGAAAAAATACAAGATCACACACACCATAGGCCACATTTTTTGAAGATAATTTATAAAAAAATACATTTATTTAGAGAATATCTTTTCAAAGGGCTCTAGAAATCCCTCTAAGGGAATTATATTCTCTACAAGTCCATATAAGATTATTATATTCTATAAAAATAATGAATTGTGAATAAATAAATTGTTATGAATTTTGTTGGGGGAAAAAAGAGAAGATCGCATACACATCATAGGCCACATTTTTTCAGGTAATTTATAAAAAAAGACCTTTATTATAGAATTACTACTGAGGGACTTGAAATATATATTATCCTCTACTGTTGTATTCAATTCCATATAAAAATCCCTCTAGGGTTCTTCAATTGCATAAAATCACTTTCTCCTGCTAGACTTTAATTGCAAAAAGGCCATCAGGGGTCTCCTGTTAAATAGAAACCCTCCTAAGGATATTTTATTCTAAGGAAGCTTTTCCAAAGTTTTTGTATTATATAGAAGTCACTTTACGGAAACCTATTCCAATGAAGCCTCTTTATATAACCTATATACTATAAAAGCCCATCAGGGGTCTTTTGTTCAATGGAAGACCTTCTAAGTTTCCTTTATTCTAAAGAAGCCCTTCCAAGGTTCTTCTGTTCTATAGAAGTCATTGTACGGAAACCTATTCCAATGAAGCCTCTTTATATGACCTATATTCTATAAAAGCCACTCCAAGGGTCAGTTCATCTACAGATGCTCCTCTAAGGGTCTCCTAATCTATATAAACCCTATAAGGGTTTCTACACTATAGTAGCCCTCTAAGTTTTTTGATATAAGGGATTTTATATTCGGTAGAAGTGCTTTGAAAAACTAATTCATATTTTACCGAAGTACATTTATTTAACCCAAGGACGAACCCTATTAAAATTGGGAAAAATTGCTTCAGATTTAGATATAGCTCCCATATATATTTTAATCCGATTTAATGTTAATGTTGCACCAAAGCCCCTATATATCTTTCGATTTGCATGAAATTTGGTATAGCGTCTAGAATGATGTGCGTTAAGTTTCATGAAAAACGGTTCAGATTTGGATATAGCTCCCATATATATTTTCATCCGATTTAAAGTAAATTGTGCACCAAAGTCCCTATATATCATTCGATTTGCATGAAATTTGGAATAGTATTGAATTAAGTCTAGAATGCTGTGTGTTAAATTTTGTAAAAATCGGTTCAGATTTAGATATATCTCCCATATATATATTTTCATTCGATTTAATGTAAATTGTGCACCAAAGTCCCTATATATTCGATTTGCACAAAATTTAGTGCAGAGTGCTGAATTAAGTTAAGAATGGTGTGTGTTAAGTTTCCTGAAAATCGGTTCAGATTTAAATATGGCTCCCATATATATTTTCCTTCGATTTAATGTAAATGGTGCAGCAAAGTCCCTATGTACCTTTCGGTTTGCACAAAATTTGGCATAGCATCTAGAATGATGTTTGTTAAGTTTCGTTCGGATTTAGATATAGCTCTCATATAAATTTTCGAAATTTGGCATAAATGGGGCACTAAAAAATCGATATATCTGAAGCCCAGATTTGCACGAAATTTATGGAAATTTCATATATTTTAAAAATGTTGAAAAAATCTTATGAAGGAGCTCTCTCTCTCGTATTTTTTATTGAACTATATATCTATACTTTGTGTAAACGCCTTATTTGACCTGGTTGTATCTGATTTCGAATTTTGAATGAAAAAATAATAGACAAAAAATATATCTGCCCAAAATAAATATTTTTAATAAAATTTTGGTGAAGGGGTGGGCTGTGGGAAAAAATCGGTATTTAAGAAAATCATTGCTTGGGTACTGACATACAAAATATATACCCTCTATTATAGCTATAACTCCGCACGAAAACCCTCTACCTTTCCTGTCTGCACTTTCACATACCTCAACACCTAAACTGATCTGTCCTCTCCCCTATCCTTGCCATAACAACTAAATTACTTTCGTCTTTCCTAACTAACGTCATGACCTTGGTTTTGGTAAGCACCTAAGTACTATATATAGCACCTGCATGCCATCTATATATAAGTCTATTACCAAACACAAGAAATCTTTTTTTATACTAAAGTTTCCCTTTTCCCTAATTTACCTTCTATTTTTGTATTCCTCTCTCTCTCTCTCTTTTTAGACTCTATTCTTTTTCCTTTGTGTGTCGGCGGTGTCGTTGTCGTGGGCACAAAATTTCGGCACGGACAGTGAAGTACCCGCAGTGCTCAGCTACAACTCGCCACTGCGCCGTCCCGATAGTTTAAAATCACGTCCATATTTCGATTTTCTCAGTACCCTGTACCGACATGATACCGAAAAATCGAGTCTCTTCCAACCCTATTATCCACGCAGCAGACGTAGTGTTGCCGACACTGAACCCATTGCTGTTGCTGCGGATAACCACGAGAACAGTCGTCAACGTCGTGCTATTGTTTTTCGTCCACTATTTGTCTACAGACAGCAAGAAGTTCGGAAGCAAGAGGTGCAGGAGGAACGTAGACGTGTTTAAATGAGTCGGAGGTCGACAATTCATTCATCGCAAACGACAAAGACGACCGCACGAATTCGTAAGCAAGAGTAAATGCTTAATGTGATTGGCTACACAAAAAAAAACAATATTTCCGAAATTTACTTGCCAAAATTCACGTCCCCACCCATCCCCCTCTCTAGAGGGGAGGAGACAAAATTAGTTGATATTTGATTAGAAATAGAAATTTTGTTTAAGATTTATTTCTTTTTTGTAAAATGTTAGGCCATCTCTGCAGGATGGATGCGATTATTTTTAATTTATTTTTAGTAGATTTTTTTGATTAAAAAGAAAATTATTTTGTAAAACTTGCATTTCTATTGTTTATAGAATTCGCATTCGCCAACCCCTTCCTTCACCTTCATTATCGAACAAAATATAAGCCACCATATTTTTTAATTTAATTTTTAATAAAAAAAATACGAAATTATAGTTTTAAGTTTTATTTACCCCCCTCTTCCGCCCTCCCCAAATTTATTGTTTTATTAACTTTTTTATTGTTGTTTTTTTATATATAAAAATAAATAATATTATGTGTTTTTAATAAATTTTTATTAAATTTATTAAAAATAAAAAAAATTAAAATAAATTTTTAAATTGTGTTTTAATGAAGTTTTTAAAGTGGATGGATGATGTTATATCAAAAGGGTCCTAAGAAGATGCCGATCTAAAGGACATATCTTTGAAAATTATATAGAAGTGCCTCTAAGAGAATACAATTCTATAGAATACTAATATCTACAGAAGTCTCCAGTAGGCATCACATTGTATGTTGTCTCTCATAGAAGAAACCACTGTCCATAGACGTCTCAATTCTATAGAAGTTCCGTTAAAGGACTACAATTCTGTAGAAATCTTTTTAGAAGACCACAATTCTATAGAAGCTCCCATAAAATTCAATATCAATTCATTCAATTCATTTATTCAATATTCATTTATTCTAAGGACTTATACTTTATAATAGTACCTCAGCACGACTTCTAGTCACTTTAAGAGACTTTTAGTACTCCAAATGTAGAACTATTCTATAGAATCTAATAAACAAGCTTTTCTTCAATGGTCTATTTTATAACCGTCACAAAACGTGTCTTCAAGTCTTCTCAAGCCCCTCAAAGGAAATTGGACTATTATTTTCTACGGAATTTAATTTAGGACTCTAAAATCGTATATACAGGAATTTTATACTCAATATGTCCCTCAAGGGGGGCTTCTATTGTATAGCAGCTCTCTTATTCTTTTTACGGGTTTCCTACTAAACTTCCACTATAAAATTTCATCTAGGGATCTTCCATTCTATAAAAATCCCGCTTGGACTATTCTTTTCCATAGAATTCCCCTAGAGGGAAGAAATCCCTAGAGAGGTATAGAAATTTATTATCGCCTAAAAGTCCATCACATATAATACAAAAATCTCCTCTAGGGATCTTCAATTCTATAAATGCCTCTCTATGGGTCTTTTGTTCAATGGAAGTCCTTTTAAGGATATTCTATTGTAAAGAAGCCCATTAAAGGTGTATTCTATTGTAAAGGTACTTCCATCTATCTAAGGTACTTTTATTCCTAAGAAATCCTTCTTAGGTGTTTTATTTTAAGGATCTTCAAATCTATAGAAGACATAATAGAAAAATCTATTCTAATGAAATATGTTTATACCATTCCAGTTCTAAGGAGCTTGCTATCTATATATGCCCCTCTAAGGGTATCCTAATCCGTATTAACCATTCAAACCCCCCATAAGCCCCAAAAAAAGGTTTTATATTCTATGCCCCTCTAAGGGGCATCTACTCAATCGAAAATACGCGCTGTTAAGGTTTTCTATTCTAAAGAAACCTTTTTAAGCTCATTTTATTCTAAAAAAATGTCCTTTAAGGGTATCCCATTCTAAAGAAGCCATTCTAAAGGAATTTAAATCTCCTCTAAGTTCTTCTATTTTAAAGACGTACCTGTGAGGGTATTCTATTCTAGAGAAGACCCTTTAGGGAAATATATTCTAAAAAAATGATTCTTTATATGACTTTTATTCTACTGAAGCACTTCTAATGAGCTTTCTATTTATAGAGCCCCCTCTAAGGGTCTCCTAATACGTAATAACCCTTCAAAGGTCCAACTAATCAGCATAAACTCCAATAAAGGTTTTCTACTCTATAGAAGCAACTCTAAGGGACATCTCCTCAATCGAAAATACACCGTTTTCTATTCCATAGAAACCTTTCTAAGGACATTTTATTCTGAAGAATCGCCCTTAAGGGTATCCCATTCTAAAGGTCTTTAATTCTCCTCTAAATCCTTCTATTCTAATGACGTCCCTGTGAGGGTATTCTTTTCTAGAAAAGTTCCTTTAGGGAAATAAATTCTAAAAAAACTTCTATTCTACGGGACTTTCCATCTATATATGCGCCTCTAAGGTTATCGTTACCAGTATTAATCCCTCTATGGCCCACCAACTCTCTATATGTCCCTATACTCTATAGGAGCTCCTCTAAGGGTCTTTATACAGCCGAATCCGCTAATATTTAAAAAACTACACGCTTCTATGGGTATTGTATTCATAAAGATCTTAAATAAGAGTATTCTATTATATAATAAATCCAAGTCCTCTAATGGTCTATAATCCTAAGGACTTCTAATATATTGAAGGCGCTTCCGACGAATTCTATTCTAGAGAAGCACCTCTAAGGGATTTTTCATATACAGATGCCTCTCCAAGAATAATCTGTATAATCCCTTCTAAGGACCTCCAATCCCCGCCTCTGGGTCCTTAGATGGTTGAAGAAAAATCTTTAAAAAATCCTCACCACTGAGCCCCTATGAAAAAAAATTCTTTAAAAAATCCACTCCTCTGTATCCGTATGTGGTTTAAAAAATCCACGCCTCTAAGTCCTTCAATTCCATTCTTTCTCATTCCTTCTCCTAAACGGCTTCTGATACTTTTTACCCAAATGTTTGTTCCAAAAACAGTTTCATATCTCAAATTTATTATTCTTCTTATTTTTTCTTTTCAGTTCTCAATCCTCTTTGCTGCTGCAGTTGCCCTAACATTCCTTACCTTCGTATACGCTCAAAATGCTGACGATTCCATTCCATCGGTCCTAAGTCATAACTCTCCCCTTAGGAGACCGGAAAACCTACAGTCACGTCCCTACGTTGATTTCCTTAGCAATTTATATAAAAATGATAAGGATAAATCGAATTTATACCGCAACTATCGGGCAAAACGTGAAGCCCCAGCAACCATTGAAGAACCTCGAGTAAAGAATAATGCCGCTGAACCACGCAGCCGTAGAGCCATTGTATTTCGTCCCCTCTTCGTTTATCGTCAACAACAGGTGCGGCGTCAACAATTGGCTGCCCAGCGTAAACGTCGTGTTTAGATACAGTCACCACGGGAACTGATGATGTACTGATGAATTATAAAGAATTTATTTATGGCGTGCCAATCTTGAATGTTCCTTTAAAAATAAATCGTTTTTTTCACAACTTTTTTAATCACAATTTATTTTATTTAATTTTTTTTTAATTTCTTTTATATACTTATTATGTTATATTTATATTTTTAATGTTATATTATTATTTATTTAATTTCATATATATTTTTTTACTTTTTATACAAGAGAATAGTAATTGTTATTTGTCTTGTTGTTATTATTATATTCTTTGTATATTATTAACTTTATGTGTTTATTATAAACAAAAAACATTTTGTATCCCATGACTAACATAATAAAATAGAAGCAAACAATAAATCATATTTTTTTATTTTATTCTGAGGTAAATTGAAGAAAAATTTGGATCATATAGAGGGAAGACCTTCCACAGGATCTTCTTGTGGAAGCAGCGGTCATTTTTATCTCTTTTTTGTTGATTTTTTTTTTATAAATTCGTCGATGATGTAAACAGTAGCTGGGTTTAATCCATTTATAACAAAGCATAGCATTTTCACGTTATAAATTAAAGCATACTTTTAGGCGCCTTTATGTGACACAGTATCAATCAACAGTATTATGAACAATTTATTTGTATAACCTACACCACACTGAGGAAAAGGGTAAATGTTTAAATTTTTATGGGACCGAGAGAGGGAAACAAGATAGACCTATGGCTATCTTTGAGGATATACTTAGAATCACATATTCTTAAAGGGAAAATGATATGCGTCCTGTTTCCTATCATATATCCCATCATTCACCCATTCCCATTTTTCACCCACCTGCTTATTGTTTTAACCTTGAATTTTCGCCTCTATGGAATATCAACTAATTCTATTATCAGTTGCTAAATACTTAATTGAATATGAAAATCTTGTATTAAATCTGATTATATTTAAACCAAAATATTAAATACGTCAAATATTGAAATATTATTAATATCCGCATGATACGATGGAAAAGTACGTAGATAAGGAACCACCAAAAAATAAAGCAAAATAATGATAATAAAATTTATCTAGACCACGAGGTTTTACGTGTAAACATTATATATATATATATATATATATCTTATTAAGCAAATTAATATGGTGGTTTTAATTGTAAATAATAAAGGGTGTCAAATAAATAAAACAAAGGGTCGCTGAACTTTTAACACGAGTTACAATTTAAATAGAAATAAAAAAGTGAAACTTAGGTGCTTTAATTTAAGGATCTTCAATTCTATAGAAGACACAATAGAAAAATCTATTCTAAAAAAATCTGTTTATACCATTTTATCCTAGAGAAACAGTTCTAAGGAGCTTGACATCTATATATGCCTCTCTAAGGGTCTCCTAATCCATATTAACCCTTCAAAGGTCCAACTACCCCTCATAAGCCCCAATAAAGATTTTATATTCTATGCTCATCTAAGGGGCACCTACTCAATCGAAAATACGAGTTAATAAGGTTTGCTATTCTATAGAAGCCCTTCCAAGGTTATTTTTATTAAACCTTCAAATGTCGAAAATACGCGCTGCTAAGATTTTCTATTCTATAGAAGCCCTTTAAGATTATTAATAAGGTTTGCTATTCTATAGAAGCCCTTCCAATTTTATTTTTATTAAACCTTCAAATGTCGAAAATACGCGCTGCTAAGATTTTCTATTCTATAGAAGCCCTTTAAGATTATTTTATTCTAAAGAATCCCCTCTTAGGGTATCCCATATTAAAGATGCCCTTCTAAAGGTCTTTAATTTTCCTCTAAGATCCTTATATTCTAAAAAAGTCCCTATGAGGTTATTCTATTCTAGAAGTTATTCTATTCTAAAAACAGTCTCTTTATATGACTTCTATTGTACAGAAGCACTTCTAAGGGACTTTCCATCTATAGATGCCCCTCTAAAGGTCTCCTAACTTGCATTAATCTCTCTAAGGCTCACCAAATCTCTATATGTCACTATACTCTATAGAACCTCCTGTAAGGGTTTTTATAAAACCATATCCACTATAATTTAAAAAAAATCACGATTCTGAGCGTCTTCTATTCATAAAGACCTCTAATAAATCATTAGAAGGGCTTCTATAGAGTAGAATAGAAGCCCTTCTAATGATCTATATATCTATAGAGGCTCCCATAAGAACTTCTAATCTATAGAAGCCGCTTCCGGCTTAGAGAAGCACCTCTAAGGGATTTTTCATATACAGATGCCTCTCTAAGAATAATTTGTATGAACCCTTCTAAGGCCCTCCAAACCTGTATAAATTCCTATAAGGGCATTCTTCTTTGAAGGAGCTCCTTAACTGTATGAACCTTGCTAAAAAAAATTATTAAAAAATCCACGCCTTTGTTAGGAACCTGAAACAATATTTTTAAAAAAACCAAGATTGCATTAGGGCCCTGAAAAATATATTTTTTAAAAATCCAGGTTTGCATTAGGACACCGCCATTGTGAAGAACTTGAAAAAATATTTTTAAAAAATCCCCGCCTTTGTTAGAAACTTGAAAAAATATTTTTAAACCAGTGAGCGGAGCAGTATAGCCGGACCGAGCCGACCATATGAAATCTACCTTTCTGTGGTTCTATATTCTGAGCTTGATATTTGCTCCCTCTTGACCGATTACATGTCAACAAATATTACTAATATTCAGTAGAGGGGGACTGCGCCTGTCCAGATTCCCTTTACCGTGGTTTATGTTGTGATGTTCGGCTTTCAATTGTGGCCTATAGAACGACTCGAAAAAACACAAAAAATTAAGTTGTCGGTCGACTTCATCCCATAATTATTATCTGAGCATCGCCGAAAATCATAGGCGTTGTTCTTGACCATAGCTGGAACCTCATGGATCATTTCAAAACGATCACCGCTATATTTCCGCCCTGCAGTGTGGTAATGGTTTACTTAATAATATATGAAATCGTAAGCTCCTGAAAATATTTACGTGTAACTCCTACATCCGTATACACTATAATTGGTATCAATTTAAAGGCCAATCACTCCTCTTGGATATACTATCAACTTTTCGGGTCTATGTCCTTCAGGAGCAAATATCTTCGCCATAGAATAAAAATGTTGTAATTTTCACACAAAAGTCAGGGTCCATTTGACCCGTTAAATATTGACCGAACTTTATCAAAATGCCTATTTTTTGGACCAAACCCCTTCTCCATGTAAAAAATCGCGATGTTTGGGCCACAATTGCGGCCTCTGGAGTGACCAAAAACCGACAAAAAATAAGTATTTGGTCCATTTCATCCTCTAAATATTAACCGATCTTTACCAAAAACAATAGGGATCTTCATTGGTCAGAACCCATCCAACATGCAAAATTTCTTGAAGATTGGTCCCTTACTGTGGCCTGTATCGTGTTTACAATTATAATGGACAGACGAACGAACGGACGGACGGACACACATGTCTAGATCGACTCAGCTAGTCGAAATATGACGATCGGTATACTTAAATGTGGGTCTAGGACCAATATTTCGCGGCGTTACAAACTCCTGGGGCTGCACAAAGCTATAATACCCTGACATCATAGTTGTGTAGTGTATAAAAATCGACACCCTTGGAAAAATATTTTTGAAAACTCCACGCCTGTGTTAGGACCTTGAAAAAATATTATTTTTAATCCAAATTTCTGATAGGATCTTAAAAATGTCGCCACGATTATTATCTCCTCATATTATCACTTCCGCTAATGAATACGACGTCTAATAAACAACCCGAGCCATAGACCATCAATCTTCTGCAGATCCATCATAATAAATTCGTAAAATAAATAGAAATCCAGAAGCTTATGAGAATTTTGTGAATAAACCTAAAGCGCCATAAGAACTGTTAATCTATTTTTCTTCTATTTTCGAAATCCCATTTTGTCGTATTTACATAGAGTTCGGTATCACTTCTTGTGATCATCAAATCAAATAAATTGAGTCAATAGACAACAGTAGTACAACCGATATTGATTTAGCAGAAGGCACAGTGATGTCGCGGTGGACAAATGAGAGCTGTCATAAATCTCCCGGGGATTATTTTGGGATTTTTCTATTGGATTGGAAATTTGAACATTTGTTGCAATCGAAGAGTCGTGCCAGCCCACCAAACCAAAAAAATTTACCTGATATTATGCACGATTCAAACAGCCATATGGCTGTTGTGTATGATAACAGATTTTCAATTTTTTGGGGGAGGCCCGTCTGCAAAAGTACGCAGCCTAACGAAGACACACATACACACACACTGATAAAATATAAGTCTATATTTCCATTTGAATCGAAGTGACGATCGCTGCGTCAATTGTCGAAATTTTTCTATTTGGGAAAATTTAAATGCGTATGGAACTCTGAGGTATACTCAGAGATATGGGTGTAGGCACACGTATGTACTCGTATGTCTGCATGTACGTTTGTGTATTAAACCAAGTAGACTATCTATTTCTCAGTTATTTGTTGTTGTTGTTGTTGGTATTGTAGTGGTTCATGTGATAAACTATAAATACAATATTGAATCGTTAAAACAACTACAATAATACCATGGAAAACAACAACAACACCAACAATGTATAAATAACACATTTTTATGATTAAAAACCAAAAAAAAAGAGAATTACAACAACACCGCCACCAGCAGCATGAAATAGAATAGAATTAGTTGAGTGGGTACACAGCTCATTGGAGATACCCCCATTATTTGACTGGAATTAGGATGTAACTATTATTGTCATGGCAAAATTATTAAAATTTAAAAATAACACAGGTGTGGATTTTTTGAAATTATTTTTTTAAGTTAGGACCTGGATTGGCTGAATAGGCATTTCCATAGGAAATTTTCTATTCAGCCTGGCTGAATAGGCATTTCCATGAGAAATTTTTTATTCAGCCTGGCTGAATAGGCATTTCCATAGGAAATTTTCTATTCAGCCTGGCTGAATAGTCATTTCCATAGGAAATTTACTATTCAGCCTGGCTGAATAGTCATTTCCATAGGAAATTTTCTATTCAGCCTGGCTGAATAAAGATTTCCGTAGGAAATTTTCTATTCAGCCTGTCTGAATAAAGATTTCCATAGGAAATTTTCTATTCAGCCTGGCTGAGTAAAGATTTGCATAGGAAATTTTCTGAATAAAGATTTCCATAGGAAATGAATGGAAAATTTGGAAATCTTATTCAGCCTGGCTGAATGGGCATTTCCATAGGAAATTTTCTATTCAGCCTGGCTGAATAGGCATTTCCATAAGAAATTTTCTATTCAGCCTGGCTGAATAGGCATTTCCATAGGAAATTTTCTATTCAGCCTGGCTGAATAGTCATTTACGTATGAAATTTTCTATTCAGCCTGGCTGAATAGGCATTTCCGTAGGAAATTTACTATTCAGCCTGGCTGAATAGTCATTTCCATAGGAAATTTTCTATTCAGCCTGGCTGAATAAAGATTTCCGTATGAAATTTTCCATTCAGCCTGGCTGAATAAAGATTTCCATAGGAAATTTTCCATTCAGCCTGGCTGAATAAAGATTTCCATAGGAAATTTTCTATTCAGCCTGGCTGAATAAAGATTTCCATAGGAAATTTTCTGAATAAAGATTTCCATAGGAAATTTTCTGGCTGAATGGAAAATTTTCTATGGAAATCTTCATTCAGCCTGGCTGAATGGGCATTTCCATAGGAAATTTTCTATTCAGCCTGGCTGAATAGGCATTTCCATAAGAAATTTTCTATTCAGCCTGGCTGAATAGGCATTTCCATAAGAAATTTTCTATTCAGCCTGGCTGAATAGGCATTTCCATAGGAAATTTTCTATTCAGCCTGGCTGAATAGGCATTTCCATAGGAAATTTTCTATTCAGCCTGGCTGAATAGGTATTTCCATAGGAAATTTTCTATTCAGCCTGGCTGAATAGGTATTTCCATAGGAAATTTTCTATTCAGCCTGGCTGAATAGGCATTTCCATAGGAAATTTTCTATTCAGCCTGGCTGAATAGGCATTTCCATAGGAAATTTTCTATTCAGCCTGGCTGAATAATGATTTTCCTTTAGAAAATCCATCTACCTTTTATGCCCAACCTAATAAACACACATGCAACAGCGCAACGCACATAATAATCAACTCTAAAGAAAGCTGGAAAAAATAAATGTAGTAGCAGCAACAAAAACAACAACAGCATTCCCATACACACAATCATCGGCCAGGCAGTCAGGCCGACAGACAACAACGACGACGACGGAAAAGAAGAAGCATTCAACACAACACACTATCCCAAAGATAAATCATAAAAGAAGCCATTATAAGCAGCAAAAGGGTTTTCAAAATTCAGTTTGTAACGAACCAGCGGACAGTTAACACGCAACGCGCAGCGACAACGCATTCTTCCACGCTTCACGACGCACACACATACCAGTGATCCCCCCACTCCCGGTGAAGAGTTAGAATTTTTCCCCTCGACAATCCCAAAAAAGGGAAAAATATCTAAAATTGGAAAATAAGTGAAGCGACGGATAGCGGTTAGAAATTCCGGGAAGACGATTTTGAAATTGAAGTTTTACAACAAGAACAACAACAACTAGAAAAGAAAATCAAAATGAAAACAGTAAGTGTAGTTGTGTGTGTATGTGTGTCTGATTGTGCTAATCAGCAAAAAAGTTGGAGTGCTGAGTGTTTTGTAGTTAGTTTATAACTTGAAGAAAGCCAAAAACAACAACAGCAACAATAAAGACAAAGAAAAACAAGTTAAAGACAACAACAACAGCAAAAGGAAGTGAATTCCAACAATTACGACCGGAGCAGCAAACAGCAATGCATTTAATAACAAGAAAAACAAGAAGAAATTGTTTCGAAAGAATCCAATTTCAAATCCAAGATATGGAAGTCGGTGCTAATACAGTGGAGTGTGGTTATGGCGAACTTCGCAGATATCCTTGGAGAAAAGAAATTTACCGAAAACTATTAAGAGTTCTCAAGGGGATATCATAACTCTTGTAAACATCTTTGAGGCCACTATTCGCTGGTTCATATAGTCAAAATTTCATTAGAACTCTTCCGAGTCCCTAATACTTCAAATTCAAACTTCGATGTAGTAATCGGAAAGGATCTCTTTAATTATCTTTAATTAAAAATCTGTGACCAGATCTTGTCTATTACTTCTGTTCATATCGGAGTCTCTAACTATGGCAAAGACCTTAGCCAAAATACTGAAAATGGGACCTCATTTTCTAGCCAGTGTCGGAAAGCCTCAATTTCTAACCAAAGTGTCGGAAAGGTTAATTTCTTTGACTAGACCTCCGAGGTCTTTTATATATAGAAAACCTTCCAGAGTTCTAGCCAAGGTTGAAACCCTTTTTAAATGGATAACAAATCTTTTGCAGGTCTTTTATAAATCGAAGGTCCTCCAGATTCTAAGGATTTATTATACTTGTTTACATACAAGATCTTCTACAAATAAAAGTTTTTTCCAGAGGATCTCCACAGTTAGAAGGGCTTCCAAAGGCCTTGTATATATAGAAAACTCTCCAGAGCTATATACAAAACACCTTCCAGAGGCCTTCGTGAAATAAAATATCTTCCGGAAATAGTTTATAGATGGAATCATAAGAAAGAGGGTCTTTTTCAAGGTAGAAAACCATCCAGAGGACCAGTTAAGGTTGAAACCACTTTTAAATGAATAACAAATCTTCCAGAGGTCTTTTATAAATCGAAGGTCCACCAGATCCTAAGGATTTATTATTCTTATTTACAAATAAAAGTTTTTCCAGAGGATCTTCACAGTTAGAGGGCCTTCCAAATGTCTTGAAGAAGAAAACTCTCCAGAACTATATACAGAACACCCTCCAGAGGCCTTTGTGAAATAGAATATCTTCCGGATTTATTTTAAATATAATCATAAAAATAAGGGACTTCCAGAGGTCTTTTCAAGATAGAAAATCTTCCAGAAATCAACTCAAGTTTCAAACTATTTTAAATACATAGAAAATCTTCCAGAGGTCTTTTATAAATCGAAGATCCTCCAGATCAACCTTCTACAAATAAATAACTCTTCCAGAACAGCTCAAAGGCCATCTAGAAGTCTTGTATAAATATAAAACCCTACAGACCTACAGAGGCCTTCGTGAAATAGATTATTTTCCGGCTCTATTTTATAAATAGAATCCGAAGAATTTCCAGTCTAGGTCTAAAACGAAGAAAAAGACCGATAGATACAAAATAGTCTAGTGACACCCTACCAATAGAATATCACGCAGAGTTGATCTGTAGATTGAATATTATTTTTTAGATCTAGAAAAGGCCTTCCAGAGATCCTGCAAAGATAAAAACAGAGTTCCAGACACCTTCTAAAAAATACCTTACGTTGATATTTTACATGCAGAATGTTCTCGAGAGGTATCGAATAGAATGAAGGTATTCACCTGATAGAGAATTCAATTATTTTTTGGTCTTATATAGAAGACTTTGGGGTCTAATCCTATAAATCGAAGATCCTGTAGAGGAATTCTACATATTGAAGATCCTCCTTTAAATACAGGGACATAAACAAGACTCATATGATAAAATTATTTCCAGAATGCATCTAGAGTTATTCAATAGTAAGAATGTCTTCCAGGTATATTCGAAGGAATGCAGATTATCTATGATTCTTCAATAGAAGACTTTGACCTGTAGATAGAAGAACTTTCAGAGAATATCCTTCTGAGGTCTTGTTTAGATAAAACGATCTCTGGTGGCTTTCTAGAGTCTTCAACAATCTCTTCCAAAAGTATTTTGTAAATATAAGAAGTCCCGAAAGTCTTTGAGAACTTCTATAGCTGGAATATCCTCTAGTGGCCTTCTATTGATTGGATTCGGATAATCTCTGATAGCCTTCTAGAGATAGCAGAAAAACTATGAGCCTTCAAGATTCGGATAATCTCTGATGGCCTTCTAGAGTCTCCAAAACTATTTTGTGAATAGAAAAAGTTCCGAAAGTTTTTGAGTACTTCTATAGCTAGAAATATCCTCTAATGGCCTTATATTGATTGAATAATTCTCAGAGGCCTTCTATAGATATAAGACCGCATAAAGATAGCAGAAAAACTATAAGCCTTCAACATAAGATTCGGATAGATAGAATCATTTTCAAAAGTCAACTGCTATAAATAGTATATCCTTCTGAGAGCTACTTGATGACCTTTTATAGTCCCCTAAAGCCTTCTGTATTTATATGATGGATGATCTTCTATGGATGGAAGACGTTCCGAAAGACTTTTATATATAAAATTCAGTCCAGAACAACTGTGTAACAGAATGCCAGAGATCTTCTATTGACATAAGAAGAAAAAAGGCCTCTGACTTTCTGAGTAATATACCCTCTAGAGGTTTTATAAAGAAAAGAGAGATCTTTTAGATAGATCTTCTATGTAGATATATGTTGGATTATCTCGAAACGATTTTCTGAGTATAGAAGAACTTCCGAAGGTCTTTTCCAGAACGCATCTCCAGGTAGTTAGGTAGATCGTTAGAAAACCCTAATGTTGATAGAACAATTTTTAGAGGATAGTAGATCATCTATGAGTCTTCAAAAGAAGATTCGGATAGATGGAATAATTTCCAGAGATCTACTTCTAAAATTAGTATACATTTCTGAGGTTTCCTTTAAATAAAAGAGCTTCATATGGTCTACTATAGCATCCTACCATCTTATATAGGACTTCTGTAGATCTTCCAAAGGATCTCTGTAGAGAGTAGAAGTTCGTTTTATAAATAGAAGTCCACCTAAAACACCTCAACAGGGTAGAAAAATGTTCTGAGGCCTTTTAAAACATTCCGAAGATGTTTTGTAGATAAAATGTCGCACAGAATTTAGGTACAAGTAGGTTGGAGGAATACCTTTCAGGAATCTTCTGTTGAAAGGACATTTTTCATAGGCCTTCTTGTGCTGTAGATGCTCTGGAGATCTTATAAAGATAGCAGATCTTCCAGCGATAATTAGCAGATACAGTTATATTCTATTAGTCTCCTACAGATTACACACTCCCCCCAAATATCCATATCCCGAGCGTTATACACACGTACGACTGTAGATGGCAAAAGAATTTGATAAAAAACACAGACACAACAACAACAACACCAAGTCAACAAAAAACCAAAACATGTACGCTGTCTGCATACGAAAACAAAAAGAACCACAACAACAATAACAACAAAAATATCGAATATGAATCTGCTCGCCTGGCCATATTGAAAGTTACGATGAACTCAAATCCAAACAAAAGCAAAAATAGCAACAACAACACACAGTGGAAAACTCAAACGAACCAAGAACTCAAAACCTAAAATTAGGATGATGTAGCAGAGGAGGAGTAGCAATAGAAGGAGAATGAGGACCATAAACACTGTGATAACAACAACAACAACAATAGCAGCAACAATGATATGTGAATGATATTGTTTTTAGGGGCTATCGAAGCCGCCATATGGATTTTTATTTATTATTTTTTTTTTTGAGTCCATATATTATTATTCTTGTAAACAGAAAAAAAGATATGGGGTTCGTGGTACGGCTCTTTTTGTGTTATCTTATCATTGGAGGGCATAACTTCCTCTAAATATTATTAAAACTACAGTTCTCCTGCTTATTTATTTTTACTAACTACAAAAACAACAACAACAAAAAAAAACTAAATAAAAAAGTTATTTATAAAAATATATTAATTGCTTTTTCCCCTCTTCTTCTTCTTTCCTCCCACCTCCCCCCATAGATCATTTTCATTTCCCTCTGCCTTTGCCTGCTGGTCTCCACAATTTCAGCTGAAAAATCCCACAAACATTCTGGTGATTCGAAAAAACTTTTGAAAAATGGTGGCCACGAAAAACAGCATCAACTGAAACAGTTGTCCGAACACAAATTGGAACATTTGCCCAAATCCGCTTTGCCCCTAAAAGAAGAAACCACCGCCGCCGCCGGAGAGCTAAAACCCGCACGTGAGGGTGGCCGCAAACATCATCGTCATGGCAAAAATCGTAAGGGCGGTGAACATCAGCAGCAGCAACAGCAACGTTCCCGTAAATCTCATGGCAAATCGAAGGCCAACCAGAATGGTCCCACCAAACCCCATCACAATAAGCATTCCCGCAAGCAGGGACGTGGCAAGCAGGTCCATCAGCAACAACAACAACAGCAACAATAGGTTAGATTAAGTTAACGCGAAGTGCGGAGCAGAATACTGGGATGTGTATTTTTTCCGGAAGTTGTAATCTTTTTTTATTTTCTTCTTTGTGTATGTTTTCATAGTTTCATAGCGAAAGAGTACAATAAATAAAAATGATAAAATAAAATAATGATAAATTAATAAATAATTATTTAAAATTAAACAAATAAAGAATATAAGTTTTTTATTTATTCATAAAAAAATATTCTTTAAAAATTTTAAGCCTTGAATAAGGCTTGAAAAAATATTCTTTAAACAACCCACGCTTTGAATAAGCCTTGAAAAAAATTCTTTAAAAAATCCACGCTTTCAGTGGGCCTTAAAAAATATTCTTTAAAAAATCCACGCTTTCGGTGGGCCTTAAAAAATATTCTTTAAAAAATCCACGCTTTCGGTGGGCCTTAAAAAATATTCTTTAAAAAATCCACGCTTTCGGTGGGCCTTAAAAAATATTCTTTAAAAAATCCACGCCTTATGACAGCCTTTACAAACGCCGATATTCACCATCGACGCAGATCGGCCCGTAGATCTTTCGGAGAAATTTTCCTTCAAACACCCCAAGAGCTGCCTCATATGCTTGCGCAAGTACCCATTCTTCAGATCCATATAACAGCACGGGTAGTATCAGCGTGTTGTAAAGTGTGAGTTTGGTCTTGGCGGGAGGTGGCCTTGTTTCTAAACTGCTTACTTAGACCATAGTAGCATCTGTTGGTCATCACAATCCTTCTCCGAATTTCAAAACTGATGTCATTCGTTTTATTTATGTATTATTTATGTATTTATGTCAGAACAACTAAGCAATCCACATTTATATCGACAATAAATTAAATTTGAGAACTATTTAATACCAAATTCCATGCTTCGATTTTACCAAATTTAGTTCCATTTAACACACAATATTTCCATAAGCACCCACCTCATCCATCCAACAAAACATCCTGCATACCCCTAGGATTCCCACTCTATTGGTTCACCAACAATTAAAATTGTACCAAATTTCTTACTTAACCCAATCCTACACCCCCACATTGATCCCAAATCCAAATTTCAGGATTCCAACTCTATCGGTTCAACAACAATACAAATTGTACCAAATTTAGTACACTCAAAATTTCAGGATTCCAACTCTATCGCTTCACCACAATTTAATTTGTACCAAATTTAGTACATATTTGTACAAATTTCACAGTGATTCTAAATCCAAGATTCAGGATTCCAACTCTGTCGGTTCATCCACAATACAAATTGTACCAAATTTAGTACACAGTAGTACGAATTTCAAAAACTTCCTACTTAACCCGAACCTTCAACCCACAGTAATCCTGAAGTACATAGTACATAGTAGTACGAATTTCCAAAACATTCTACATATTTCAATCTTACACCCCAACAGTGATACTGACTCCAAATTTCAGGATTTCAACTCTATCGGTTCATCCACAATTCAAATTGTACCAAATTTAGTACACAGAAGTACAAATTTCGAAAACTTCCTACACATCTCAATCTCACACCTCAACAGTCATGGTAAATCCAAGTTTCATAATGCCAACTTTGTTGGTTCACCCACAATTCAAATTGTACCAAATTTAGTACACAGTGGTACGAATTTTCAAAACTTCCTAATTAACCCAAAACTACACCCATAGTGATCCTGGATTCCAACTCTATCGGTTCACCCACAATTTAAATTGTACCAAATTTAGTACACAGTAGTACGAATTTCCAAAACTTCCTACTTAACCAAAAGCTTCACCCCACTGTAAACCTAAATCCAAGTTTCAGGATTGCAACTCTATCGGTTCACCCATAATTCAAATTGTACTAAATTTAGTACACAGTAGTACAAATTTCCCAAACTTCCTACAAAACTCCAATCGTACACCCCCACAGTGATTCCAAATCCAAGTTTCAGGATTCCAACTCTGTAGGTTCACTCACAATTCAAATTGTACCAAATTTAGTACACTCAAATTTCAAACTTCATGATTGTAGCTCTATTGGTTTACCTAAAATTCAAATTGTACCAACTTTAGTACCATTTAGTACCCATAAGTATTAATTTCTTAAACTGAACCCTGGCCTCAATTCTACACCCCTACAGTGCTTCTGGCTCAAAATTGTTCTTGTTCCCGCTCTGTCGGTTCATCCAAATCCAAATTGTACCAATAGTACGATTTAGTACTTTTCGTACACATCTGTAATATATTTCACAAACAACGTTCCTATCCCAATCCTACACTCCGACAGTAAGGTTATTTTTAGATTCCAGGATTCTAGCTCGATTAAATTTGTACCAAATATAGTACCATATAGTACTTTTCGTACACATGAGTACACACTTTCAAAACCATCTCCTTAAATAGACCCTACATCTCAACCCTAATTCGCAATCCAAATTTCAAGTTTTTAGCTCTATCCATTCACAGGCTACGAAATTGTACCAAATTAAGTACATTTTAGTACTTTTCGGATACTCATAGTTCGAATTAAAAAAAAAAACCCTTTGGTACATCTATCCTACATCAGCGACCACCAATCCAAATTTCAGATTTCTAGCTCCACCGGTTCGCCCAATACAAATGGTATCAGATTTAGTACTTTTCGTACGGTTCTAGTACGAATTTCCAAAAACCCAGCCTTATCTGTCACATTTGAACCAAGAGTGACCCTAACCCAAAATTTCAAGATTTTAGCTTCAGCCGTTTCGTCTGGGCGTTGATGAATCGTTAAGTCAGTCAGTCAATCACTTTACTATTTTATTAGTATAGATTTATTTTCAAATCATGATCTACTGATATCAAATTATATTCTATTGCATACTACGCATTATTCCTACATCATTGGCCAATGACGTCATCCAAAATCTTATCTATAGGTCTGTTGTTATTACCACAATTCGATTAGGCTTTGACAATGATTTCCTTTTATTACTATCATTTTTTTTACGCATTTTCGCAATCTATTCGAAAAAATCACTCATTTATTTTTGCCTTCCGCCATTCGGTTTTGAAACTTTGTACATTAAATATTAGATTTCCAAATAATAATAATATTGTTGTTTTATTTTTCAAAAACTTTGGGCAAATATGATTTAAGTTATAGTCACTTATATTTAATTTTCCCTGTTTGTTGTAGTTGTAGTATTGACATTGTGGTAATTGTGCCCGGAGTGTGTGTGTATTCGTGGACTTTGTTGTTAATGTGCTGATGATGATTAAGTAACTTATGGTGGTTACACCATCTCGAGTTAACTCCATTAAACCCCCAGCATTTAAGCACCAGCCATGTGAACTTCCAACTTTGCCTAACTCGGCATTTGAGGCAACGAAAAAAAGTTTTGTTTTAAGCTTTAATATTTAACACAACAATTAATTTGACCTCTACACAGGCAAAGTGGTAAAAGTGCAAAAAAAACGAAATGAAATGATATGAACATGCAGAGGCGGATCGAATGATACAAATATTTTTAAAAAATCGAGCGTCCAAAAAGCATTCTTTAAATAAATCCACACCTTATAAGTGCCTCGAAAAAGTACTCTTTAAAAAATCCACGCCTTATAAGAGCCTTGAAAAAGTACTCTTTAAAAAATCCACGCCTTATAAGAGCCTTGAAAAAGTATTCTTTAAAAAATCTACGCCTTATGGGAGACTTGAAAAAGTATTCTTTAAAAAATCTACGCCTTATGGGAGACTTGAAAAAGTATTCTTTAAAAAATCTACGCCTTATAAGAGCCTCGAAAAAGTATTCTTTAAAAAATCCACGCCTTATAGGAGCCTTAAAAAGGTTTCTTTAAAAAATCCACGCCTTATAAGAGCCATGAAAAAGTATTCTTTAAAAAATACACGCCTTATGGGAGCCTTGAAAAAGTATTCTTTAAAAAATCCATGCCTTATAAGAGCCTCGAAAAAGTATTCTTTAAAAAATCCACGCCTTATGGGAGTCTTGAAAAAGTATTCTTTAAAAATCCACGCCTTATGGGAGCCTTGAAAAAGTATTCTTTAAAAAATCGACGTCTTATGGGAGCCTTGAAAAAATATTCTTTTAAAAATCCACGCCTTATAAGAGCCTCGAAAAAGTATTCTTTAAAAAATCCACGCCTTATGGGAGCCTTGAAACATATTTTTTTATTCCGATCCGCCCCTGTATTAAGCCCGCATACATATAGGCATATAATCATACATATTGCCCGCCCCTCATCCCCCTCCGAACACTATAATTTTTGCAATGCCTACTTCATTATCATGATCCGCACTATGGTCATTATCATATATCTGTTGTATTTGTTGTTGTTTTTGTTCATTTGAAAATGGTTTTAAAGTACACAGACAAAAGTCTAGGGAAATAATAAAAAACCCAAATACTCGAAACCCCATTGATGTATATCTCTCGATATAGTTATGTGTGTTCGGATGTTTGTAGCAGAGTTTTTTAATGTGTTCGGACAAAGTGTACTTCGAGCAATTGAAAGGCAAACCAGCATTTGGACAAACGCACTTACTCACTGGCTGGCTCACACACGTATGCCGCAGATGTGTGCAAGTGACGGACTGGCTGACTGATGATGTTGGAAATAAAAATAATAATGAAATAAAATAAAAATCTGGAGTTATTGTTGTTATTGTTTTTTTCTTCTGCCTTCATTTTAATGATGTTCAACGAA